GATGATGATGATGATTAAATGTTGCTTTATTAAAATTCCTACGCTAAAAATTATCCATTTGTATTTAATGCCACTATGCAGTCCGAGTTTAACTATTACGAGAAAAACTCATTTTTGCAGTTTTCATACTAGTTGCTATTCAAGTAGCCATAAGATAAAAATATTACAGAATACATAGGCTTGTGATACCTTTTTAGAATCTCAATTAACCAAGGAAGTTTTTAAGGTAATGGGCACGATAGTCTTGCTACATTTTTTTTACACGATGGCTGATCAAAAGTGCAAGACAATGAATTAATTTTTCCTTCTTCTCTGCAATTTCTTAAAATTTTCATACTTTTAAACTAGTTTGTTGAACTTTGATATTTTCTTTTGATAGCCCAACTATCCCTTGTGATAAGGAAAAAAACTAGATTGAAAAGTATCCTCATTTGTAGAAATGGCATGAGAAAAAGTAATCGCAGGTGGCAATTTTCTAAAAATGCACAAAAACTTAAAAATCTTGAAAACGGTGATATTTTTACTGGGGTCAAAATTGGACGTTAGGGAGACCGTGGCGAGGCCTATCGATGGTTACAGGGTTATCCATTGTTTTTGGGACACCCTGTATAATAAGATCCAGATATTGCGAGTAGTTGGATCTTTTGGAAATCTGTAAAATAGTGGGAACTTACTTAACACGTTTATTATGTCAGGGTAAATGTGATAAATTGAAAATTATTAATAATCGCCGGTTATTATGAATAATTGTTAAAGAGTGCAACAAAAACAAGCTGATTAATAAAATGTAATAGAAAACCTACTGTATCTGTGGTAGATGTCGCTCTTGTCTATGACATCTTTCTCGAACCCTCCATCATTGTGCTAGGTTGTACCTAAATTACTTTCCAAGATAAAATACAGAATGTCAAGTTAATTACGCATCTTTTCTTCAATTACCCAATAATCCTAACAATAATTCCCGACAGTCGAGGTAAAAGTAATAAATGAATTTACATTTATCAGCGATTATTAATAATGTATTAATACTAACAAATATCATAAAAGAGAACACCTATTGGCAGTATCAAATTGTTTGCATAGAATTTCGATTATATTGTTATAAGTACACTATCCTTAAATTATTACACAATTAGGAATTTTTGCTTTCCAGTCATTCCAGTGGCAACACTTCTAGAAATTTAGTTTTTTGCAAATTTAAGTGTATTAATTAATGTGAAATAAATAAAATAATATTTACCGATGCAATGTAATGTTGTCCTTTTCAAGATTTGATGTTTCAGATGTCTTCTTACAATTAAAAACACTGCAATTCACCATTTTTATCGCAGCACGTTACTCTTCAATAGTGACATTTGGAATATGTCATTGGTGGCGCTGCAACTAGTTTTTATAAACTGAGTGAACCACTGGTCTACTTACATTGCTAGAGGGGAAAGGGGATTGCCTGTCAGTTCCACTCTGCTCTCTGGGTGACAACTATAAAAAAAAACTGGCCAAAAAGGTTTAGTCCAAGTCTGTACGAAAATTATAGTAAAAAAAAGTAAAGTCACAACAAAAAAAAGAGTAATTGGCAGTGGTGCCAGATTAGGCGAATTATCGCCATTTAGGCTACCTTCGGGGGTCAAATGGCGACCAAAAAATGCAAACGGCTACTGGTAGCCATTTAGGCTACCTAGAAAAAAAGATCGGGCTATTTAGGCTTCTTCAGGATTACCTTGGAAAAAGAAATTTTTCATGTAACAAAAGTAACGAAACGTATTCACATCCACATAACACCATAGTCTAAGACATCCACCGTTCTTTCCATTCGGTCACTCTTTGTAAGAGTGAGATAGAGCTATTGCGTACAAGTATAGATATGAGATACTAGCTTTTGCCCGCAGCTTCACCCGCGTGAAATTTAGTTTGTCACAGATCGTCATAAATTATAGCCTATATTATGTTATTCTGAGCCCCGATTACGGTAACTTTTAACGTCTACAATCCAGACACGCTTCATCGACGCTGCGATACGATTGGTCGAAACAGCTGACGTACGCTGTTGAACGACCAATCGTATCGCAGAATCGAGAAGCGTGTCTGGATTGTAAACGTTAAAAGTTACCGTAATCGGGGCTCTGGGTTGTAAAAAATGATACTGTAAAGTTTCATCAAATCCGTTCAGTAGTTTTTGCGTGAAAGAGTAACAAACATTTAAACATGCATACACACTTTCGCATTTATAATATTCTCAGATCATAGAATGATCTGAGATAAATTAGAAGGATAGGTTTGTGTGTGTAGTTGTCTGCTGATTGCTATGTTGTTTTCTTAAATCTTGTATACGTACTCGGCACAAGTCAGGTAGTGACGTCATATAAAAATGTTGCCAGAATGAGTACTGACCAAACATTTTCTATCTCTTTTTTCATACGTCACCATGGGTGAGTTAGAAAGAGATAAACAGCTGTATGTCATTAATGTGTCGATTTGATATGTATTTCTATTAGCAATTTTTGTATACTTAGCTCAAAAAATTAGGCGAATTAGGCTACTTTGAGAAACAAAAAATATTAGGCGATTTAGGCTACTCGGTAGGAAAAATTAGGCGAATTGAGTTAGCTGATATCTGGCAACCCTGGTAATTGGTTGCTTGCTTGCGAATCTTGCGATTGCTAATAATCACAGATGAGACAGAGACAGATAGGAAACGGCCCTATGATTGGTCCGTTCATAGTAAAAGTTCCGGCATCTATGGACTTCCATTGGGTAGCGCTAAAAAAAAAAAGATCGTAACTTTTTAATAACGACTGCCTTAGCGACGTTGCAGTACCGCTTTAATATATTTTATAACGAGTAACGTTACCGCATCAATAACGGTACGGGTACATTATTATTTCAAATTATTTTTAGAAATAAAAAACCAAATAAATAAGTTTTATTAAGAAATTTATTTCATAAAAATACAACTTAAAAACAAATGCATACAACTATCGACAAAATTACAAAGGTGGTCCTATCTTTTAAGTACTTGAGTCTGAACATGAATTACATCTTAGAATTATCTACTCGAAGATAATATACCAACCGGATGATTTCTTATTCCGTAAGGAAAATTACAAAATAATAATGGAATAAAAAATCATCCGCTTAACTCGATAATTATAAGTAAGCACCATAAACTTAGGAAACTATGAAATACTATTAGTAAGTAAAACTATACAGCCATTAATTATTCACAGAATCATCGACTGCAGGTTTTTAAGGAAAATAATAAAAACCTACCGCGCCAATAGAAAATAAAGTCTGGTAGGGCTTTATTTTCATCAATAACATTGAGATTGAACTATTTATGAATATAATATTCAGTAACTAGCTGTTGCCCGCGGCTTCACACGCGTGTAATTTAGTTTGTCAAATATCATCATAAATTATAGCCTATACAGGGTGGAATTTTGTAATGCCACCTGAAGGGAAATTACTCTTAATACTGTAGATAGAAAATTTTACTCAAAGGAAACATTCCTTTATTTTTGTAAAGAAAGAGAACTGCATTCAAAGATTTCCGAAAATTTTGCAAAAATACACCACCATACCATACGATTTTCCGTAAATAATTACAATAATTTAAGATTTATCCTTATACTTAACTTTTACGATCGGTGCAATAAAATAAAGGCTGTAGTTTTTCACAAATTTTAGTTGGTTCGATTCCCGGGTGTGGCAAGCTAAGTTTTGGAAATCTTAGAATGCAGTCCTATTTCTTTTAAAAAATATATAAATGTTTTCTTTGACTACAATTTTGTATCTACAGTATTAAGAGTACTTTACCTCCGAGTACATTACAAAATTCCACCCTGTATGTTAGTTATTTTGGGTTTTAAAGTATAATACTGCAAAGTTTCATCGAAATCCGTTCAGTAGTTTTTGCGTGAAAGACTAACAAACATTTAACATCCAGATTCCAGACATCCATACAAACTTTCGCATTTATAATATTAGTAGGAAGTAGGATTTGAGTAAATCTATCATTAATTGCCAAGTAAGTAAATGTTAAAGATTCTTAGTTAATTTATCTCTGTTTGAGTCAATTTTAGTCATAAAACCCATTATTACAAAAGAATTTAAGCTCGGGATGAACCTTCGAGAATTAAACCTCCTCTATGAATGGGATGAACACTGGTTTAAAATTACATTTCCATACTAAATGTCAATTTTACCGAGAGTTACACTTTTTGTAATTAAAAGTACCCACCATTGAAGCCAACAGAACAGAATAATATAATTATTAACTTTTTGCAATAATTTATTGTTTACAAGCAAGCGAACATTTCTATTGTCGCAGACTATAAATCCTACTAATATTATAAAGGTCAAATTTTGTGTGGATGTTTGTTACTCTTTCACGCAAAAACTACTGAACGGATTTGGTTGAAACTTTACAGTATTATTATTTGTAACCCAGATTAACATAATAGGGTATAATTTATGCCAATCTGTGGCACTAAATTTCACGCGGGTGAAGCCGCGGGCAAAAGCTTTTTATAAATAAATGGTACCTAATTCTGTTTACAATAAAAATGATGATTACCTGTAATTGCGTAACACTAGACAGCCATTAACAAAATGAATCATTTTTACCGTATTTGCATGTTTATAAGAAACTAGCTGACCCGGCGAACTTCGTACCGCCAG